GAAAAACATGAAGAAATTCATTTTTTCTACAACTTTTTTTTGTTTATTTATTAAATATTATTTATAAAGAACACTCTAGAAATATTGGAAAATTTTAGAGTGAAAAATGAACATGCTACGACTCAAAAAACAAGCAGCACATGTAGTGCCATTACTTTTGCCGGTGACTGTATATATATATATATATATCATTAGAAAGAACTCTTTTAGGTCGTATAGCTGAATTCTAATTTGAAATATAATATGCAATTATATACGCCTCCCAAATGAAATGCTAAGTATTTGAAAATTTTAAAAGAAGTTAGATAAATTCCCTAACCGATTACATTTGATGCATACGTACCAATAAGGGCGAAAATATGTATCCATAAAGCCTCTTCATAACCAGATATAATGCATATACCATATAAAGTTAAAGGTAACCATTTTAAAAAAATCATAATAAAGATCAACATTTTTAACATAGCCTGTCTTTCCAATTTGTTTCGTCTATCGATGCTATCAAATGAAGCCATCGGTTCTCTATCCACATTTAAGATAAATAATAATGTTTTAAAATAACAGTAACATGATATAATAAAAGTTACAACAAAAACAACAATTACAACAATTGCACTAATTGGTAATATATTTATTTTATTAGCTGACGTTAAACACCAAAATTTCGTTGGTCCTAGAGAAGGGATTGATAGTATCGATAATAATAACGATAATAATACAATTAATGTAACGAATTTCCTATTAAGATATCGATAAATGGTTAATCCACGTATGTTAAATTTTAATGTGACTTAATAATAAAGCTTACCAATCAAATTTTCCCAGGTCCAGGTCAATTGGTCTTCTTACAATTCTCTAAATACCGCGGGTTAATTTTATGCTTCTAAAAAAAAAAAAATAACATCACAAAATTTGCTTACCACATAAGTGATAATTGCAACACCGGCCATTACAATCATATTGATATTTATGTTAAAAAAGAACAGGAATGCTAGTAGTTTACAAGGTGTTTCAGGAATAACCTTATGATAAATCAACGAATAAAAGAAGTTCGGCATGAAAACCATATCTAATAAAGACGAGAGAAATTAATTAAACGGTTAACAATATTGATTTATTAATTTTATAATTTATAATTACATTGGAATATGTCTGAAATACTGAGATATAGAGGAACTCGACTTGAAATTGATAGAGAACTTGTGAGCCATTTCTTATATGCAGAGTAGATCTAAAAAAAAAAATTCAAGATACGTTACATTAATGTTACGCGAATGGACATGATATATGATAATAACATACCACAAACGAACTAGTTATCAAATCTATATGACCTAAAACTAAAGCAGTAATGACAACACTTCGATGAAAGTTTTCAATTGTGCCAGTACGCTGAAGTGATGCGGTGTCATTAATCGCTTGATTCATTGTTGATTCACTTGTATTTTTTAATGAAGTATTGAATAACTCGTGTGTCTTTACAAAAGGAAGTTTTAATATACATATCGTTATATTTAAAAATAATATTCTCGTGGTGAATGAAAATTTATACATGATATAATTGTAAAAAAAAAGAAAATCGGAAATAACTTTCAGAAAGCAACAAGTTTCGTATAATATACGAATTTTTGCGTCAAAAACCGATCAAATTTTATAAAGGAAAATATTCAAGGAAAAGGTACATAAGTGGGAGTATTTATTCCATACAGCCCATGATTTTGACCTCATTAAAGTTTAGTTTTAATTTCATCAATGCGAGTCAAATTAGTTTAAATGTACCTCAACTATAACCTTTCTACGGAAGAAATATGGCTACAAAAAGATCTCTTTCCATATGAAAAAGATGATTTTATAAAAACGATGGCGTCGGATTGTTTTTCGTAATATAAAAAATAATAGCAGATTGTATACCGGAAAGGAAAGGAATGAAAAGAAGCAAAGTTATTTTGATTTATTTATTTTATTTTAACTAATTCTTGCAGTTCAAGATTAACAGATATGGGTTGATCAATTAATGGTTTGATTTTTATGGAAACGTGTGAAAGAAAGCTAATAAATAAAGCGTAATAAAAATTATATGGGGCGTTTAAGACATATGACTAGAAAAGGTGTTCCTACAAAGTAAATTTTTGTTTTTTTTTTTATAAAAATTCTAAACGAATAAAAAGAATGGACACAAACGAACCAACCTAACAATGAAAATGTTCCGTATCAATGATTTTGAAACGTAACATTTTCGTCACCCATCTCTAGCCAATAATAAATTTTCCGACAAAAACGTGACAAACTATAAAAGTGCAATTAACAATAAAGATAATCATAAGCGAAGGATATCCGGAAAAAAATCATGCTGTTTTGGTAAGAGATGTTACAGAATTTCATTGGTTAATCATTCTTTTAGTATAGTAAAAACCAACATCAGTTCTCATTTGTAAATAAAGAAACTGCAAATTTGATTTTGTTTACGAGAGACATTGATTGAAATGCCAAATCTATCATGAATCATAAGAAAAGATTAACCTAAAAAGTAGAGCTTTTGAAAGGAAAATGCAAATTTTTTTTTTTTTATGCAGGACTCCTTATCACAGGAATTCCCCCTTTGTTAGAAAAGCTAAAATGAAATTTTCATTTTTTTTTTTTTTTTTTTTTTAGAAATGAGTGAATGGGTGTGTATCACAAATAAATTCAATAAAGTTTAATTTGGGTTGGTTCATTAACGGCGTATGACGTTATATTTTTATATGAAATTCGAATCACCTTTTATATTATACCCTTTATCAGTTTTTTTTTTTTTTTTTTTTTATCATTGATTTTTCTTATGACAAAATAATATTTAAAATATCAAATAATTATAATAAATTTCAAGCTTATTTGTAGTTTAGGAAAAATCAACCTTCTAAACAATCGACATCGAAATTAAAATAAATATTTTTTTCATATGTCGATACACCGCTAACATCGCAAAAGATCCCTACGCCAAACCTCGGAAAGACCCATGCATTATTTTACGGAATAAGGTTGGTCCCACCTTTATCAATAAGGATGCATGTCAAGCATTAATCGCATGGAAAGTCACTTTTCAAGATATTTGATTCAAAGAGTATTTATTATAAATGCATTATGAAAGACAAAATCCAGCGATTGACCGAACAGAAAATCAAATACAACGTAATACAATCCGACACGAATAAGTTCGCTTGGGACCCAAAGGTTATGGGTAAACTAATTTGCCTTTACGGCTAATACGGGACAACCGGCTACCATTTCCGGGCGACGGCTAGGAGAATTTCTAAAATCACGTGAGGAAAAATTTTGGGGCGAAGATGGAATTATGCGATCAGTGAGTCATCTAGCCTAAAACTAGTACTAATATCTATAATTTTTACATCTAAAAAATAATTAATCAACAGTCTTCGTGAACTATGATAGATTTATAGAACCGTTCAGGTATCTGTTTAATAGTTTTTATTGTTTTACATAAAGAATCGTTAAAAAATTTTTTCTTTAAAATAGGACTCAGGGAGTGAAAATGTCATTCGGTTCCAATTGAAAGAAAGTAACCTTTTCCTAACTATCTTGATAACTGTCTAAGACGCAGAAAGTCTCCTCTGACATACGTAATTCGTCCTTCCAAACAATGGAGCCTTCAGGAACAAATTACATATCTCGATGAAAGTCAGAGAAGTTTAATATAGAAGAGATTATGAATATGCAACCAAGCAGAAAGCATCAACCTTATGTTGTGAATCGGAAAGATAGCAAGGTATATGCACATCAGTGCGTTGTGGATCAGCAGCAAACATCAAGGATGTAGCCGACAGGAGAGCAGAAACTATGAGGATATTGGAATGGTGTCCGGATTTTGCCCTAACAGCACAAGAAAGTGTGCATTGCAATTACCATTTGGTCGTGTCGGTACCTTAAGTAGGCGAGCGAAGAAATCAGAAAAAAAGGATGTAATTATGTATACGCGAAGCATGAACACAAGAATATTAGAGATGAACCCGTGCATAAGATGTCAGAAGGTAGCGAACGAAATGAATCGGAAGGGCTGGGTCGTAGTGTGTTGAAACATTCGTCGATGAATCCGTCCGGTGCAACATAACAGCCTCTATCGGTATTAATCTTGTCGATAGCAAAGATCTAGAAATGCTAATCTACGTTTATGAATTTGTTGTAGAATTTGGTTTTGAACACATTATAGTAGGTATTTTATGGGTTGCTCTTTCTCGATTGCTATGGACGAATTTTTAATGGAAGAAATGCAACAAGTATTATGACCATTAGGGAACGGTTTTGAATAACAAAATCAAGGACGACTGAGTAATATAATCATTGTTATTGAATTTAAAGATATATTACTAACAGTTAGCTTATTCCACTTATCTAAAACAAAAACAAAAACAGTATTGTCGTTGTGGGATAGTTCGTGAGATTCCTAGCTCAATATATATTTGATTACTGTTATGACAACAAGTTTCAATAAGGTGAATGATTAACATTCCATTGGGAATGAATCCCTTTGTAATAAGCCGATAGTCAGCTATACCGGCTATTGGGTGTTCCAAATGTTGAACCAGTTGTAGTTTTCAACTTTATGAGGTCTGGATCATACCTATGTGCCTAATTTCTCCAGAGCGCGGGAGTAAGCTTGAACTACCTAGTTCATGACTTAGAAGCAAGATGTCAACAGTTATTCCAATATCAACTCAAAAATTTTTGTTATTTTTTTCTTTAATTTTAAACGATTTAACTACTTCTACTAAAATAAAAATTATGATAAAATTTTTATTTTCTTCAGCTGAAACTATATCGATATCTCTCCAGCAGCCATTTTCTCATAATTAATACATTAATCGTAGAAATGAAATTCAACTTATTACTAGTTAAGGATTGCGTTATTTAACATTCCAACATATCAAAGTAATTTTATTATTCGCTACATCCAAAACGATTAACCATAAAATAAATGATAAAAAAAAGGAAATTATCTTACTTAATGAAGTCGAGATGAAGGATAAACAAAATATTCGATTACTTCGGACATGAAGCGATCGAACCTGAAAAATAAACCAACTGAAAGGAAAGCAAAAAAAAAGAACAAATAAAACCGGTGAAAAAAAACATCGCGACCCAAAGCAAAAGTAAAAAAAAAATTAAAAAGTATTAATAAATATAGTAAAAAAAATGAAGGACAATGAAAATAATTGTAAGGTGGATGGGACCTAATAAACAAACAAATGAAAAAAAAGTGAAATTGAAGCAAATGAGAAAACATTTGTTTAATCAATGCAATCAACGTGAGGCGATAAAAAAAAGATAAAATGAAAAAATTCCTTACCTTTTATTTCCCGAAAGAGCTTCAAAGCAGAATAAAAATAAAAATTAATTTAAATTTTCAAAAAACTAGAATCAAATATTAAAAAGAAAATCTTAGAAAAGAAATATCGAATAGTGACTCCGCATATTTATTCCCAAAGTATTATGGTGCCGGAAGTCTTAACAATGTTTTGGATTTTATTCACGTGATTAGTAATTGACCAATGAAAAACGAGATATTAATCTTTTTTTGTGTGTATCATTTTAAAATTACAATAATTCGGGCTGACATAATGATTAATTACCATAATGCCGGCTCGAATTATCATAAATTTCAATCAATAATATATGTTTCAAATTCAGAAAGATCATATGAAAATTATCCAATTTTAAATGCCTATAAC